AGTTCTTCCAAGAACTCCCTTGGAATGAGTTCCTTAGAAATTATCATCCAATTTCATGAGCCTTGAAAATTATGCAAGGTCCTTAATCATGATGTTATTCAAATCTGTGATTTTGGAAAATACATGGGAAATGGGTTCTTGACAATTTCTCCAAATAACATTATTTTTTAAGCTCTGAATTTCAAAAATATTGTTCAAATTTAAAATTTCTGATAAATATCCATATTACAGAACAGTGAGGGCATAATCATTAGCAAATTGATATTTTTGAAGCATAATATCATGCTTGATATTGATTTTACAAGCTTATTTGATATTGCGAGACTATTCACAACGTGTAAAGTTGCAGCTGAGAGTTGAATCGCCGCAAAAATAATTCCGTTGCACCTCGTTTTATTAGAAAGAGAACGTACAATAATGTTGTCTCTTTTTTCTCTTCACCGATGGCAGACACGAAGCGGCCGCTGCCAGCCATTATGGCAGTTTCGATTGCGTTCGGGTGTAAAGCAAAAATCATGAAACTCAATCTCACCGCAAGTTGGTGAGAATTGTAGCTGTTGAGTTTTGTTAGCTTGATATTTCGAGCTGCGATATCACAGCTTTCAATATCAACCGCAGTTGTTTGCTTGTTGATTTCAGTCTACGAAAATCAAGCGTGATTTTGATCTTTGGTGAGATTTGATTTTTTGATATTTTCCCAACACTGTTCCAGAACCTAAAAAACAATCAAGCCTCTGAATTAATAACATTAATTTTGTTACTGAAGATAATTCCGCTCAGGATCTCTTTAGTTCAAAGACTGAAAAAAAAGTTCTAGTTCATCTCTAAATGAGTAATGATGGATTCCCTGGGAATTCCAGGTTTTTCCAGGAAAAATAAAATTCCCTGAGGATTCCGTTCATATTTTTCCCATAAAGACTTGACATTTCTAAACAACTTTTTTTCAGCCGCATTTCGATCAGAAGTGATAAATTCGTGCTTCAATTTATTGAAAAATGTCAAAGACGCCATTTTGAAAAAAAAAATACAGGATCAAAAATGGCCGATTTTTTGCAACAATGTGAATGATTGCCCATAACACACAAATATGCAAAGCTTCATGCAAATCGGAGAAGGTCAAGTCAAAATTTTATTTGTTATCCTATTCTGAATGGAACTGCCCATCTGGCTTTCCCCGGAAGACTCTTCCGACATCACCTCGAAGTATTATCTGACTTTCTCAGAAGTCCTTCTGGTTTCCTCTTCTCTTCCAATTTACATGGGATGTTTTCAGAGTTTCCCGGTTTTCCTGGAAGATTTCACTGATTCCTAGGAGGTTTCTTCACAAAAAAGATGCTTACTAATTAGTCGAACCAGTTTCAAGAGAAACGAGAACTTTTGAAAATCACTTGGGAATGGTTTTCCAGGATGTTCCGGATAGGGAATACAATAGAGAATTTTAGAGGAATTCTGAGGATAATTTAATACATAGGGAATACTAAATACTCAAGGTGAAGTTTAAAGATAATTGGGCTCTTTAATTTGAAAAAAAAACATCGGTTTTACACCATCTGAAAGAGTTTTGTTTTTCGAGCACAACGATATTTCTTTAGGACCCATATACTTTCATCTCTAATTTTAAGATTTAAAGCAAAATCATAACTTCACTGTTTGACACTAAACTAACAAACTGACAGCTCGCTCCCATAAAAAGTCCCACCGAGGGGTACTAAGATAGTCATTTTTGCCAATGTAATCGCATTTATTTAAAATAGTTCCACTGTGCCAAAATGCAGACAACGAATATGCATTTACCTCAATACTCTTAAAGAACCCAATTTAAAAGGAATTCCATGGGAGTTCTGCGGAAAAGTCCAATGGATCATGAACCAGAACTCCATAATTTTGAGGAGTCTTACTTACTTATGTATCCTGCACACCCCTAGTGCCTTGACCTGGGCCCAGGTTGGATTTTTGTCGATTTCCTTTATTTCCTTGTTGAGGTTCCACCGCCTTGTCCCCTGGGTCTGCCTCTGCTGTAATGTCCTGTCGGGTTCCAATCCAGCGCTTGTTTGCAGATTTCGTTTCCGCCCCTTCGTAATGTGTGCCCGACCCAACTCTTCTACGATTTTATCTGGGACTTCTTTACGTCTCAGCTATTTCATAGTCAATGAATACTAGACTGATGCAAAATTTGAAAATTCCGCTCCACAGTGCTCAAACGGTTCCAAATTGGGTCCTGATTAGCCTCCCAAAATTTGAACTCATTTAGTGAGAAACTGACTTGGCACAAACCATTTGAAGTTTATATGGGAATTACTATGAAGAAAGCATAATTTCGGTTCATATCTAATTCAAAATTCACCAGTTCACTCTACTTTTAAAAATGATAGCTGAGCTTGTTGAAAATTTTCCCAGCTACAACATTGTTGAAGACCACTTTTCGATCAAATGTAAGGAACAAAAGTTATTAATGATTCAAGTCACTGATGTCTTATGATTATGCTCAATCAACTGTTCAGCAGGCAACATTGGTGTTTATGGCGCGTAGAATATAGGACAAAAATTATGGCTACTATGTCACACTGCAGAATACAGTGTTGCCCATAATACAGTTGCTTAATCTTGCCATAAGATTATCAATCTCTTAAACAATTAATAACTATTTAATTTGACGTTTGGCTGAAAAACGATTTTCTGCAAAGTTGTAGCTGATAAAAATTCCCATAAGAATAGCAATCGACTTTGTTAACAATACAATATGTGAAAAGGCTAGAAGACAATGAACAAAAAAATTTGTTTTCCCATAGTAATTTCCCAAACTTCAAATGGTTTGTGCTAAGTCAGTTTCTCACTAAATGAGTTCAAACTTTCGGAGGCTAATCAGGACCCGATTTGAAACCGTTTGAACACTGTGGAGCTAAAATTTCAAATTTTGCATCAGTCTAATGAATACTCAATAGAGGGACTCTTGGAGTTCGTTCACCTGCTCCAGAATGATGCGGAGCGTTACAATATGGTCCACACAAGATCTTCCGGCACGGAATCCAGCCTGCTGCCACCGGAGAGTCGCGTCGGTCGTCTCTTGTACCCCATCCAGGATAACTTTACCCAGAATTTTGAAAACAACACACAGTAAGATGATGCCTCGCACACAGTAAGATCCCCCTTCTTATAAACCTTCAGTCGGTTCATCGTTGCTCCACTCAGGCGTCGTGACATATCGTAGAGGAGGTGGATATCACCAACTGTTGCAGCTTTCTCCGCTTCGTCAGCCAGCGAGTCTACTCTGAAAGAGCGTTTGACTTCCTGCCGAATTGACGGGCTTCATTCTTGGCTCCCCTGGTTCTCGTACATTCTATCGCGGCGTTTGCTTCTCTACGCTCCTCAATCGTCCGTCAGATATCATCAGTGATCCACTCTTTTTGCAGAGTGCGCATCTCTCCCAGATTATTCTCACTTGTCTCGATAAAGGCATTCTTTATGGTCGTCTACTGCAGAGTTGACCATCATCAAACAGCTGATGGTAGTAACGCTTTGTACATTCCTATCAATGTGCTCGTCGACGCTCTCTCCATGACCATCCATCAAGTTGACGAAAGAAGTAAAAAGCAACTGGTGAATGTCGTCTTCTGTTGTGATCTATCACCGATCTGGTCATTCCTGACAATCACGACACTCGTCTGTGCTCGTTTTGAAGCAGTTACTGCTTTGTTGCTTATGTGAGTGCGTTGGTGAGTGAGCCCAACAGCTTCCGTTTAATGTTGCCTGCTTTGTTTGTAACTCACACACTCGCGCCTGCCGATACGAACTTGGAATGCGTAGGCATTATTTTCATTTTCTTCTGTCGTTTCGCTTTTTCTCATGATCGTACTGCAGAAGTCTTCACTGTTTTCGTTGTGCTTTTCATTATCAGCAGCGAGTGTAACGTTTTGCTTGTGAGCAGCGACCATTACTGGTGATTGTTGTTTGCCATGGCTCTAACTCTCACTGCGTGACAAAACGATCTGTCAGCGATAGTCGGTTGATGCGAAGACGAGTGTCACGTGAGTGTCATGATATTTTGCATCACTGGTCTACTGTTCTTCTACGCTGCCACCTTCCAGAACATCCACTGCTCGGGTCTCAAGTTCTTCAACGAACGATCTTTTCACAGCTTGATCTTCTAATCGGCGCGTGTTGAATCGCCTCCCTCCGTTGGATTCGTCAAACGCGATGTCGACGCTGCGTTTATTCCGGGCGTCATGAAGGAGGAGACTTCTAAGGGAATTGAGAGGAAGATTTTACGTGAATTCTAAAGAAATTTCCATGGTTCATATGATTTTTTTTCTAAGTACCCATGAATCACTAATTTAAAAAAAATCAGATGCAGGTATTTGTAGCATCCAGCGATAAAAAGACCTTCTTTTTCACAGTTCACAGCAGCGGCCTATAGTTCACAGCTCCAGGTCAATTGTCCACCTACTCAACATGATCCACAATGAATTAAACGAAATATGTTCAGACGTTTTGATCAATTCTAGTACGATTACAACTACGCATTCTTCATTCATGATTTATAAACTCCTCACCCGTATGCCTGTCCTTGACTCAACCGTGTTTTAAGGCAGGCTTAAGTTCCATTCTACTAGTAATAAGTTAAGAAGAAACATGAGCTAAAGCAATTGTTCAGAACATGAAGAGGAAGTATTATTTTAAAACTAAAAAAAAATGATGCCACTGAACATAAATTCATTTCATTCATTGCCAGGTAAGCATATCAGGTCATGTCAAACAGCTTAACCATTACCGAAAAAAAAAAAATACCCAGCCACATGAACCATGTTCTCCATAATCTAGTGTGTCAACGTGTATAATTCCATTCCCCCCTCATCAAAGCCTAATGCTTCGAAGCTGCTTCCAAAACATTGCTTCTCAGTTTTTGTTCCATCGGTTACACATTGACCCATTAGTAAACTATGGGAACGATGTCCTCATGTTCCAGCACTAATCCGTATTTCACCTTCCTGCTTCCTTTCCAGGTGGTACAAATACATCGAAGGAACAACCCGCAAGCAAGCCGTGGTGTTGAACGATCGCGTTAAGCAGGTCTCCGGAACGCTGATCATCAAGGATGCCGTGGTGGACGATTCCGGCAAGTACCTGTGCGTAGTGAACAACTCGGTCGGTGGTGAAAGCGTGGAAACTGTACTGACCGTGACGGCTCCGCTGACTGCCAAGATTGAACCACGAACGCAAACCGTCGACTTTGGACGACCGGCCGTGTTTACGTGCAAGTTCTCCGGCAATCCGATCAAGACCGTCAGCTGGATGAAGGACGGAAAAGCGCTGGGACACAGTGATGCCGTGCTGCGGATAGAGTCGGTCAAGAAGGAAGACAAGGGCATGTATCAGTGTTTCATCCGTAACGATCAGGAAAGCGCCCAATCCAGTGCCGAGCTGAAGCTGGGAGGAAGATGTAAGTGTTGCGGAATCATGGCACGTTTTGTATGATGAATGATGGTCTATCTTTTCAACAGTTGACCCACCGGTGATTCGGGAAGCCTTCCCCGAGGAAACTCGCCACCCGGGACCGTCCGTATTTCTGAAGTGTATTGCTGGAGGTAACCCGACACCGGAAATTTCCTGGGAACTGGACGGAAAGAAAGTCACCAATAGCGATCGGTATCAGGTTGGGCAGTACGTTACGGTCAATGGGGATGTCGTATCGCATTTGAACATCACATCTCTGCACTCGAACGATGGAGGTCTGTACAAGTGTATCGCCAGCAGCAAGGTTGGCGTTGCGGAGCACTCTGCCAAACTCAACGTCTACGGTCTGCCTTATGTGCGAACTATGGAGAAGAAATCGATTGTGGCTGGCGAAACGCTGATGGTGACGTGTCCGGTTGCTGGCTATCCGATCGATTCGATTGTTTGGGAAAGGGGTAAGGTGTTGATTTTTTAATAGGATTTCGGTACGAGAAATTAATGGAAATTTTTAACTTGTAGACAACCGACAGCTGCCGATCAACCGGAAGCAGAAGGTATTTCCCAACGGAACGCTGATCATCGAAAATGTGGAACGGAACTCCGACCAGGCTACTTATACTTGCGTTGCGAAGAATTCAGATGGCTACACCGCCCGGGGGACACTGGAGGTCGCTGTTATGGGTAAGTGGAAAAGTTTCTGTCCTTGCGAAAAATACTCAGAGAATGTGGATTTTGATGAACAGTGAACAATACTTTTGACTGGTTGTTGAAAATGAGGTCATTATTTTCGATGCAAGTTTTGCATTTCACATGAAAAACGACTCAAATGTTCTTAGACGTAGTTAGAAAAGGGATGTACGCCCTGCTTCCGGGTCTTTTTAGACCTAAGATTGATATTGTTATAAAATGCACATTTTTAATCAGATTCTAAATCTAACAAGATCCATGCTCTATTTTGTCATGTCAGCACCGGCTACAATCCGGAATAAAATAAATAAAACCGGAATCATGATTGTATTTCGAAATCTTAACAAATCTAAAACCCGTTCACCACAATCCATATCTCTGTTAGTCGATAAGCCAAAAAATACATCATATAAATAAAAGCGATCACCGCGCGCGCGTTCGTTCAACCCGTCATATCATCGTCGGGCCGGTAATCCAGTGCTGCCGCAGATCGTGCCGTTCAGTTTCGGCGAAGAGCAGGTCAACCAGTACGATATGGTTTCGACGATGTGCACCGTAAACAAAGGCGACATGCCGATCGACATCAGCTGGGAGTTCGCGTCCTCCCTGATGGAACCGCGAACGCCACGCAGGTTGCAAACGAGTGATGGAATTCTGATAAGTCGTAGCAGCTCCCGTATCAGTATGCTAAGCATTGACTCGGTACGGGACCGGCACAGTGGGAACTATTCCTGCCGGGCGAAGAACCAAGCTGGGGCGGTCGAATACAGCGCCACCCTCTCCGTGAACGGTGATTGCCTTAGTTCGCTTCGTTCTTCTCTGTTCCATCCCCCCTCATCTCCAATTCAGCTTCCCTAGTAATGACTAGCTCTTCCGTACATATACTTGGCACAGTTCTGCCGCAAATCGTTCCTTTCGATTTTGGCGCCGAGTCCATCAACGCCATGGATATGGTTTCGGCGTACTGTACCGTGAATAAGGGTGACCTTCCGATGCAGATCCGCTGGAGCAGGGACAATCAACCGGTTGACGGTAGCAGCGAGGGTATCTCCGTGGGTCGAACGAATCAACGCATAAGCGTTCTGAGCATAGAATCCGTTAGAGATGTCCACAGCGGCAACTACACTTGCACCGCGGAAAACAAGGCCGGACGAGTTCAGCACACGGCAACACTTTTCGTCAATGGTTAGCTCTTGTAGTGATTTTCCTTTGTCCTATCCAGTTCCTCCTCAGATAGTCCCGTTCGATTTTGGAGAAGACGCAGTATTCGCCATGGATATGGTGTCGGCTACCTGCACGGTTAACAAAGGGGATCTACCGATCGAGATTACTTGGCTTCAGAACGGGAAACGAATCTACTCGAACGACGGAATATCGATCAGTCGACCCAATCAACGGCTTAGCACCCTTAGCATAGAGTCAGTCCGGGACAGACATAGCGGGAACTACACCTGTTTAGCCAAGAACCACGCAGGCAGCGTAGAATTCATAGCACCGTTACTTGTGAAAGGTCAGAATCTAGTAGTTCATATTCTTCCCTAATCCAGTCCTCCCGTAAATTTTCCCATTCGATTTCGGAAATGAAGAGATCTTCTCGCTAGATACAGTCTCGGTTAGTATAGGCGATACCCCTGGCTGTTCAACGGTGCTCGCTTGGGTTCAAATGACGGAGTTCTCATCACTCGACGGACTACAACGGTACGAGATTCCGCAACACCGCAAAATGTTTTGTTAACTATGGCTTTTGCTGTTTTTGATTTTTGCTTTTTTTTGCACACAAACAGTCCTTCCGCAAATCCTTCCGTTCGATTTTGGTAGCGATACGATCTTTTCCAACGATATGGTAACGTCTTCGTGTACGGTGAACAAGGGTGATTTCCCAATCGACATCCACTGGAAGTTCAACGGAAGGCGGATCGCATCCGAAGGGGGCATTACGATCAGTCGGACCAATCAACGGATGAGCGTACTGACGATCGATTCGGTACGTGATCGAGACGCCGGCAACTATACTTGCGTAGCGCAAAATAAAGGCGGGCAGGTCGAACAGTCGGCCGCGCTCGCTGTCAACGGTTCGGATGAAGTGCATTTCGTTACATTATGTTTTCGTATTCCATATATCCCTAATCCAACACGTAGTACTACCCCACATTACCCCGTTCGACTTTGGTAGCGAATCGATCAATGCTATGGACACGGTTTCGGCGTACTGTACGGTTAGCAAGGGTGATCTTCCGATGGAAATCGTTTGGTTCTTGAACGGAAGACGGATGTATACGAGAGACGGTATTTCGATTAATAGGTTAAACCAGCGACTGAGCGTGGTCAGTATCGAATCGGTTAGGGATCGACATAGCGGAAACTATACCTGTTCGGCATCGAACACCGCCGGTAGCGTTCAGCAGTCTGCGGCATTGCTAGTAAATGGTTAGTAGTTAACGTTAGCTCTATTTTGTTATGACCTTCCTTTCCTCAAGTCCAACCGTCCGTGTTTCCGTTCGATTTTGGAGCGGATCCAGTCGATTTGATGAATACAGTGTCGATTAACTGTGTCGTCTCCAAGGGCGATACGCCGATTATGATCGAGTGGTTGTTTAACAACCACAGGATCACTTCGAATGATGGAGTGTTAATTTCAAAAACGGGTCAAAAAATCAGTATGATGTCAATAGAATCTGTACAACCGAGACATGCGGGTAACTATACGTGCGTCGCTCGCAACAAAGCCGGAGAATCTCAGCACACAGCGGAACTTCAGGTTATCGGTAACTCAATGAGTCAAATTTAGTAGATCGCATATCCTTAAAAGTAGCTTTTTCAAGTCCCCGAATCCTAACCTTTCCACTCAGTTCTTCCGGTCATCATGCCGTTCGAATTCGGTGAAGATCCATTCGACCTATTCAGCACTACCATGGTCAGCTGCGCGGTAACTAAGGGTGACCTCCCCATCGACATCGGTTGGTTATTCAACGATGTAGAGATATTGAATTCCCTCAATGGAATAACCATCACCAAAAGTGGCCAACGAATCAGTATGCTAACGATCGATTCGGTACAACCGGCACATGCCGGTAACTACAGCTGTGCAGCTCGCAACAGAGCAGGAGAAGCACAGCATTCGTCACACCTTAAAGTGATTGGTAATTGTTCATGATTTATTGTTTTTTCTTATCCTTCCACCCGTAACTTCCCTCCGTAAAGTCCTTCCGCTGATTTTTCCCTTCGACTTTGGTGAGGATCCCGTCGATACCATGGATACGGTGTCAATTAACTGCGTCGTCTCCAAGGGTGACATTCCGATCGAAATTGTCTGGTTGTTCGACGGCCAGCGAGTTACCTCCAACGATGGGATCACCATTAGCAAGATGGGTCAGAAGCTGAGTACCCTCTACATAGAATCCATTCGACCGAGACATGCGGGAAACTACAGTTGCCTTGCTCGGAACAAGGCTGGTCAGGTTGAGCACAGCTCGGAACTGAAAGTGATCGGTAATGCTGGTGTTTGATGTAGTGGGTGATCGTATGCTACGCTTCGCTTCCGCGCTTTGTAAATAGACTTTATATACTCGTGCGCTTCGTTAACCACGTGTATTCCCCTTCCATACAGTTCCGCCGACTATTTTCCCGTTTGATTTTGGGGAGGAGCCTGTCGATACGCTCAGCATGGCTACCATAAATTGCGCGGTTACCAAGGGTGATACACCTATCTCTATCATTTGGCTGTTCAACGGCGAACCGGTGCAAAGTGGGTCCGATGGTGTAATTGTTACTAAAAGTGGTCAACGAATCAGTATGCTAGCGATCGAATCCGTACGGTCGGAGCATTCTGGCAACTACAGTTGTATTGCTCGGAACAGAGCCGGCGAGGTGCAGCATGCGTCTGCACTGAGAGTTATCGGTATTGATGAGCATTAATATGTTAATTTATTTTTGTCCCTCCCTATGAATCCTTGAACTCCGCAATCCATCGCAGCCGTTCCGCTAATTATGCCATTCGAGTTTGGTGAAGAGCCGTACGATTCATCAAGCACCGTATCGGTCCAGTGCGTGATAAGCAAGGGAGATACGCCGATCGATATCGGTTGGATGTTCAACGGTCGTATGATCGACAGTAGCGATGGAATTTCCATATCAAAAATGGGGCAGAAGATGAGTACTCTATACATAGAGTCGATACGATCTAAACATGCCGGCAACTATTCGTGTCGGGCGAGCAACGCAGCCGGAACTGTTGAGCATAGTTCTGAGCTAAAGATCATCGGTAGAGTTGTGATTGCGATATTTGCTTTATCTTATTTTTACCCTTTCCATGATCCCGATTCCCGAAGTGGTCCCAATAATCCATCCGTTTGACTTTGGGGAGGATGCTTACGATACCGGAAGTACTGTATCGGTCAGCTGTATTGTGACCAAGGGTGATACCCCAATCGACATCAGCTGGTTATTCAACGGTCGCAGATTGGCTACCAATGACGGAGTCCTAATTTCAAAAAGTGGGCAAAAAATATCAATCCTATCTATCGAATCCGCGCATTCACGGCACGCCGGCAACTACACCTGCCACGCGCGGAACGGTGCCGGAAGCGTCGAACAGACGTCCGAACTGCAGATCATAGGTAACTAACAACGTTTTTTTCCAACCTTCATCCCGAACCTGTCTTCCTATACAAAGTTGTCCCAATCATCCACCCGTTCGACTTTGGGGAGGAAGCTTACGATACCGGAAGCACTGTATCGGTAAGCTGTATTGTGACTAAAGGTGACACTCCAATCGACATCAGCTGGTTGTTCAACGGTCGCAGATTGGCTACCAATGACGGAGTTCTAATTACAAAAAGTGGACAGAAAATTTCGCTCTTATCTATCGAATCTGCGCATTCAAGGCACGCCGGCAACTACACCTGCCACGCCCGGAACGGTGCGGGAAGCGTCGAACAAACGTCCGAACTGCAGATCATAGGTAACTAACAAGCTTTTTCTATACCGCATCCCGAACCTGTTTTCCTCTACGAAGTTATCCCGATCATCCACCCGTTCGACTTTGGGGAGGAAGCTTACGATACAGGAAGCACTGTGTCGGTCAGCTGTATTGTGACCAAGGGTGATACTCCAATCGATATCAGTTGGTTGTACAATGGGCGTAGATTGACTACGAACGATGGTGTTTTAATCACAAAGAGTGGCCAGAAAATGTCGCTTCTATTGATAGAATCCGCGCATTCACGGCACGCCGGCAACTACACTTGCCACGCGCGAAACGGTGCCGGAAGTGTTGAACAGACGTCCGAACTCCGAATCATAGGTAACTAACATGCTTTTTATACCCCTCAACCCGAACCTTCCCGCCACTACCAAGTTATCCCAATCATCCTTCCGTTCGAGTTTGGTGAGGAGGCATTCGATACCGGAAGTGCGGCTTCCGTCAGCTGTATTGTAACGAAGGGTGACACGCCTATCGATATCGGTTGGCTATTTAATGGACGACGAATCGTGTCGAACGATGGAATTCTCATCTCGAAAAGTGGTCACAAAGTAAGCATGCTTACTATTGAATCGGTACACTCTCGTCACGCCGGAAACTACACGTGTCACGCGGCGAACCGTGCCGGAGCTGTCGAACATAGTTCCGTACTGCAAGTGATGGGTAGATACAATGTAGATTGTAGTGCTAACGCTTCTTTTCTTTGTTTCCCAAGTCCTTCCCGTAATTCTACCATTCGAGTTTGGCGAAGAACCGCTAGATGAATCCAGTATGGCTACGGTTCAGTGTGCGGTCAACAAAGGTGATCT